AGAGGAAGAAGTTCACAAGGAATCATTTAGAACAGTTTAAAAGATCAACTGATTGGATCCATGAATCTGAAAACCTGTTTCTAAGTGAAACAGACAGACATGTACAGACTGAACTGTTCAGCAGTCAGAGTGTTTCTCTAACAGGAGACACTCTCTACACCCAACTCAGCACAGATGCACCGAGCAACCAGGATTGAACCCAAACCCAGGATAAAGAGTTTCAGTGAATGTGGTGTTGAAGGTGTGGAGGTGGATCAGAGTGTCAGAGGAGACTCTGTAGAAGGACAGAGTGCCAGCAGGACAGTCCACATACACTGCTACTCTGTTAGAGACAGAGGAGGGGGAGGTGGAGGAGATGAATGTCACTTTGTTATTGTACATGACATAATGAGGACCATCTTCAGAGCAGATCAGACTCCAGGAATGATCGTTCCATCCATACACGCAGTCATAACTGTCTCCTTTTCTTCTGATTCTTCTGTAACTCACTGATATCTCAACCGTTTCTTTCCACTCGACCTCCCAGTAACAGCGACCAGTCAGACCAGTACTACACAGCAGCTGATAAAAATAATCAAATCTGTCTGGATGATCAGGATATGACTGAACCTCGTCCACACGTGTCATCTTCCTGTTGTTGTCAGACAGTTTAATGTGTCTGTTCACTGTGTTTGTGTCGATTGTGAGTTGACAGGAATCTGATGGGGAGAACAAACACAATCCAGCTGCAGTTATTGATCCATCATCTGTTCATTGATTGACACTTTGATGATGACTCCTGACATCCGAGATGTGAATAAGTGATGTGACAGTTTGAAGATGGTTGAATGTGTGCCGCTTTGTTTTCATGAATCCCATTAAAAACATACTTACACTTCCTCAGACCTGGTGTCAACCATCGGACTCCAGCAGGCTCCACCCTGAAAGGAGGAGGGGGGTCAGAGCAGCACAGTCAGCATGCACACATGGACATCACATAGCTCTCACACACATACTGTTAGACAGTGATGAAGGAACAGTCCATCATTTTCAAAAATACACTTCTTATGTGGATCAAAGTGACTGATCCTGGATCTGTCAGTACACCACTGTATTGAAAGAAATGTGACTGATTCAAACTGTGACCTTCATTATCTTTATATCCCTCTTCTTTTTATATTCCTCTTCTTTTTCCCTGCCTTTGCTGCCAGCTGTTTTTCTCCACTTGGTGTCAGTCTGCCCTCTGAGTGGTTGTTTTCATTTGTTTTAATGCCACCTGAAAACTTTTCATGTTCTGATTGCACATTTCTACGCATGCACACAGAAAAATGTCTGCCTGTGTCACACAAACATTGAACCATGTATTTGTTTGTGAATAGTTTATGTCCTGCCATATTCAATTGTAGAAGAGCAGCAGAATATTCAGTACCTCACCCTCAAAACGCTTCATCATGATGTAGCATCATGATCCTTCCCACAGGAAATAATTGTCATGGATTTAGGAGCTGCTTTGAACCATCTTCTTCTTCTCCAGGATATTTCAGATTTAACATTTCAATGTGATGATCTTTGTTCTATTGTACTTCCTTTAAGATCTCTGAATACTGTTGTTTTTTTATTTATGACATCTATAAAAAGCACTAGAAACACATAAATCCCTTTCTGCAGGGCTGCTTTTCTTTTAGTCTACAGAGAACATCTCCCTGTAGTTCTCAGTTTCTACCACAGCTCTAAAAAACTGAATAATTATTTTATTATTTTGATAAAGCAAGCCCTGGGTTTTAATTGCACCTTAGATCACATATGCATCAACACTACAATGAGCGGGTGGAGGGAGGTTTGGAGTCTTCTCCCACCCCCATTCTCTGCGGCCTGCTGGAGCGGGAGGGCT